TCTGGAGTTTGGATCGCCTCCGGTACCGATCGCCTCTACTTTCCTGGAGCTCCCCCGCGGACCCTCACCCCTCCCTCCGGCTCCCACGGCCCCACTTTGACTGTAAGACTCATACTCTCCCCCACGTATGCTGCTATTTCCCCGCTCCCCAGTAACTCTCTTCCTCTTTACGGCGTTCCTGCGTAACTCATCCCCCGGTCCCTTGGTTTTTCTAGTTTCTCGCGTGTTTTCCTTTGACCCTTCCGGGACACCTTTAGTTGAAATAAAGTTTATTTTTCGTACTACTGTGCGTGTTGTCTCTGCATCTGGGTCCAGCTTGTGTACTGAACTCCGGTTCATGACACACACAACCAGTTTGAGTAATAAAAATAGAATTATTTTTATTACTCAAACTGCCTATCTCATTCAGCATGTTAATTAGACATATTCAATTCAATTCTTTATTGTCCCACAAGGGGAAGCAATAAGAATAAACAAAACAGTGATAAAAAGCCACAAGACAGTTATTTGCCATTAAGGAGACGGGTTCTCTAAAGCTCAGAGTCTCAGAGTCAAACTCACTTCAAACAGTTTATAATAACATGAGCCTTCCTTCCTTTTCCTTATATCTTTGATTATAGCTTCAATTAGCACACATGGACTTTGTTTAGCACGCTGTATCACTTTAAACTTAAAAGGCCAGATGTCTTTTTACCCTCTCAGACTTAATAAGAGGCGAACAGGGAGGGCTTCATTCTCTCAGTTAGAGCTGGGCGATATAAGATTTTTTCATATCGCGATATGTTTTTTTCATTTCAGGCGAAAACGATATATATCACGATATATATCGTGATATATGTGATATGTGATATGTGATATATATCACGATATATATCGTGATATATATCGTGATATATGTGATATGTGATATGTGATATATATCACGATATATATCGTGATATATATCGTGATCGTGATATATATCGTGATATATATCGTTTTCGCCTGAAATGAAAAAAAACATATCGCGATATGAAAAAATCTTATATCGTGATATATATCATGATCGTGATATATATCACGATATATATCGTGATATATATCGTGATATATATCACGATCATGATATATATCGTGATATATATCATGATCGTGATATATATCACGATATATATCGTGATCGTGATATATATCACGATATATATCACGATATAAGCCAAATAACTATATTTGTAAGATTTAAATGTGCCGTTGCTCACAAGTAAAATGTGAAATAATCAGCAGCTTGTTTTGATTTAAATATTTATTTCCCATAATAAGTTCAACAGGGTAGATGTACTTAA